CTAACATACACCATGCAAAAGACAAGAACAAGAATAGTTTAAAAGAAAGAGAAAAAAAAATATAGAAGTTCAGGTAGAAATATTCAAAGGGGAACTTCAATTGAAAACATAATCCTTTCCCTTTAGGTTAACCCTTAACCCTTAACCCGTTATGCAGATTTGTGTTAATTGGATTTATGGGGATTTTCGCATCTAAATCCTTTCACTGTCTGCAAATATTTTGGGACCCGGTCTGTTCTACAACTAAGATTAAATAAATCTCTGGGGTTTTTTCTCAATTGACTTTGCTAGATCTCTAAGGATCTATATGCCTATTCTGGTTATACATATATCTTTGACTTTTGCACAAAATGTCACTTACTGCTTGTTTGGTTTTTGCTTTTCTTATTTTAAGCTAGTTAAGTATTTTAAGTCTTAAAATTGTTATAATTTTTTTTATTCATATGTATGTATATGTTTTAATGTATAAGGACTTTTTGTAATCCCTATTAATTGTATAGTTTTAAGCAGAACCTACAAAATATTGTATTTTTTTCACTCTAGTTTATATAAAGACTTTTATTTTCAGTTTTGAAAAAATGGTAATTATTATAGTTTTCTTTTAAAAAATAATGCCTTTTTTATTTGTATAATTTTTAATGAATTTAAACTAACATTACATACAAAATTAATTAAAAAACTTTTCAGCCTTAAAAAAATGGTAAATTTTATAATTGTCTTTTATAAAGTAATGCTTATCTTAATTTTTAATCAATTTTTAATAAATTTAAACTTACATTTCAGCTTAAAAGTACTCCAAAATTTCCTTCTTTAATTATTTTTTTGATTAAAATCATATCTAATTATTATTTGTATTTTCTTTTAATTATTTTTTTTTCCAACAAGATGTTGCAACAGCTGGCAGAACCTAAAATTGAGCTGACCAGAGTCCTTGCAACGCCCCCCCTTAAGACCATTACCCTTCCCAATAGACAGATTGCGCAATCTTGCGCTGGCAAGGTCGCGGCGACCCGCCCCTTTGACCTTTTCCGATCGGGGCACTTGCTCTGGTCATAACGTCATACGCATAGCATTCGATTACCCAATTCCTCGACTTCTACCATCGACTTCCATGGAAATTTCTAATCAAGCGGCAACGATGCAAAAAAAAAAAACCCCAAAAAAACACACAACTGAAAACTGAAACAGAAAACAATGGCATTAAACAATAAATTTCAATTTCAATAATAAATATTACCCATGCCATGTGTGTGTGTTTTTCTTTCCTTTTTTGTTTTTTTTTTGTTCGGAGCGTGTGGCTGAGCAAGTGCAGGGGAACAACCGCGAACAAGATATTAGAGATCCCCGAGAGAGAGGGTATCTGTCCCACGACACCGTCGTTTTGCACTAAAAATGTCAACAGCATCAATTTACAGCCCCTAAAGAGGCCTACAAAAAATTACGAGACAACAAAAATGAGTGGTAGTTCTAAAAGAGTGCCGAAACAAGGGTATTCTAACACTTCCAGGGAAATCACTTGCCTTGCACCAAGAACAGAACCAGAACCAGTACCAGAAATATAACCTATAGATGTCCGAACGAGGAGGCACTTGTCGGCACAAACACAGAAAAAAAGGACTATTAGGGGTTGTTAAAGAAAATAATATTTTAAACCTTATATCAGTGTAGTTTTTGCAAAAAAGTATCATTATAAAATTAACAGATTTTTATACATTTTTCTTAAGTCTCTAAACTACACAGTAAGATAAAGAACATAATAGAAAAGGTTATAAAAAATTATAAAATTTTGTAAGTTGCATCATAAGGTCGGACCCCAAATAGAATCTGTACGAATTTCCAACTTTCCATTTTCAAAAACACAAAAGTAAGGTTAGGGCCCAATTCTTATCCGATTCTCAAGCGGAGTACCTTAAACGATTTCTGTATCGATTCTCCACGATTCTGCATCAAAATCCCGAGACAAAATATTTTTTAGATTTTTTGTCCATTTTTCCTGATGGGATCCCTTGAAAATGCGGTTTTCCCCCATTGGGCCCACCGTGCTGGCTATATCTTCCCCAATTCTCATCCGATTCTCAAGCGGAGTACCTTAAACGATTTCTAGATCGATTTGCCACCAATCTGCATCAAAATCCCGAGACAAAATATTTTTTAGATTTTTTGTCCATTTTTCCTGATGGGATCCCTTGAAAATGCGGTTTTCCCCCATTGGGCCCACCGTGCTGGCTATATCTTCCCCAATTCTCATCCGATTCTCAAGCGGAGTACCTTAAACGATTTCTAGATCGATTTGCCACCAATCTGCATCAAAATCCTGAAACAAAATATTTTTTAGATTTTTTGTCCATTTTTCCTCATGGGATCCCTTGAAAATGCGGTTTTCCCCCATTGGGCTTACCGTGCTGGCTATATCTTCCCCAATTCTCATCCGATTCTCAAGCGGAGTACCTTAAACGATTTCTGTATCGATTCTCCACGATTCTGTATCAAAATGCTGAGACAAAATATTTTTTAGATTTTTTGTCCATTTTTCCTCATGGGATCCCTTGAAATGGGGGTATTCCCCTATAGGGTTTACAAGGATGGCTATATCTTCCCCAATTCTCATCCGATTCTCAAGCGGAGTACCTTAAACGATTTCTAGATCGATTTGCCACCAATCTGCATCAAAATCCTGAAACAAAATATTTTTTAGATTTTTTGTCCATTTTTCCTCATGGGATCCCTTGAAAATGCGGTTTTCCCCCATTGGGCCCACCGTGATGGCTATATCTTCCCCAATTCTCATCCGATTCTCAAGCGGAGTACCTTAAACGATTTCTAGATCGATTTGTTACCATTCTGCATCAAAACCCTGAAACAAAATATTTTTTAGATTTTATGTCCATTCTTCCTGATGGGATCCCTTGAAAATGGGGTTTTCCCTATAGGGCCCACTGTGATGGCTATATCTTCCCCAATTTCCGATTGAGAATCATCCGACTCTCAGCGGAGTACCTTAAACGATTTCTGAATCGATTTGCTACCTCTCTGCATCAAAATCCTAAGACAAAATACTTTTTAGATTTTTTGTCCATTTTTCGTAATGTCCTAGTTGCAATCCTTTTCCCTAAAGACCATTCAAATGACAGATATGTGAGCTAAAGAGACAGTGAAAAATTCGTGGAAAATTTGTACGAGAGCACAGGACGAACAGGAGCTGTCCTAGAAAGGACTCCTCTCAAGAGAAGTTGAAGTGAAGTAAGAAAAAAAAAATAGAGAAGAAGCCGCCAGGCCACTGGCATAAATGGGGTGTCGAAATGATCATCAGTTGAGGGCGCCCCGTGGCGGCATCTCCTCAGATCTCCGCACACCGCACGCCCCGCTGCGCCCCCGCACCCATGCCCAAGGAAGGAATCCGAGCCGATGGAAACAGTGGCAATAGTGTACCATTTTTGGTTGAAATAATAAAAAAAAAAAACAAAAAAAAAGAGAGAGCGAGCGAACGAGCGGCAACAGGCCATGGGAAATAATATTGATGTGATTCCCCCCAGGGTGTGCGAAAAACGGGCGACAAAGGTGCCAGGACAAAAGGACAACTAATTGGTCCGATTCCAAATTGCGAGTCGCTGTTCGGTGTCCTTTGAGGCCTTAGAACCTGCCGCTGCTCCTTTGTCCTCAGGTGGAGGCTTTTTGTTTGTGTCGGTGCCCTATAACAGGTTCAAAGGACGAACCAGCCAGCCACCAGTGCCAAGGTAAATACAACATATTTCATAATTTATTTTACCCAAAAAATTTGCACAATATTTTCTTTACATTTATTTATTAATTTTTAGATTTTAAATTATTTTTATAATTTTTTTTGTTAAAATTATTGAAGAAATTATAAACAAAACTTTAAAGGTTAAAAGTTTGAACCTTAAAATACCTATTATATTTATACTAATATTTATTTTTTTCACAATATTTATTTCTAAAAGCCGAAAAAAATAAAAAAAAAATTATAAAAATTAATGAAACCAATTTAAATATCTTTATTTTTTTTTTTATCGTAGAGCATTCAAAGCTTAGCATTTTTTATTTATAATAAAAAATAATACATAATAACTCGACCAACTAAAAATGAAAATATTTCTAAAAATCAGTCTCCTATTATGTTCTCCTAAATGTTCTATACAAATAAAAAAAAATTAATAATTTACATTAAATCTACAAAAAAATAGTAATAAATATGTAAGACTAAAACTAAAGATTTTTTTACATTCTTCTTATTTTACATTCTACATCCAACTCATCTTAGGAGCGCCATCTAGACATTACCTACATGAAACTTTCCGTGACCGTGATATGCGACCGATTGGTAGGTTTTGTCAACACACATTTTGTCAAGTGTTGTAAAACGTTGATTTCTGTGCTGTAAATGGTCCAAGAAAATGCTTATTGATGTTACCAGTCCGCTAAAAACCCGCTGAAATTTAAAACCAGAAATATCGAGTTAGTAAAAAGTGTTAATATATAGTACCAATTTACTTTTCTGATTTACCATAAACGTTAGAAGACATAATTAGATATAAAGATATTACCTGATATTACCTCAAGATATAAAATATTACCTGAAAAATATTCTCAAAGTTTAAAATCTTGTACAATTTTAATTGTTTTAAGTGAATCTGTATTTTCTGTTAAAATTAATACAATATCCATACTGTTATTCCAATAATTTAAAAGCCTTTTTTTTGCAATAATTATTGAAATAATCCTAGCTGATCAGAGTCGATTAGTTCAAGCCATCTTATTGTCATTATGTAATAGATTATAAATTTCTCTATGCCCCCTTCTATAACCTTCGAAAAATATGATAAATCAATCATATTCCGATCTGCATTGCAATTTTTGAAACAATTATAAAAACCTCTGCTCTCGTGTATAAATATCGTGATCTGTGACACCAGAATATCGCTCATCTCTGTTAGGAGCGAGAAGAGAACCATCGAATTGTCGCTCTCACACGCTCTTGCTCTCCCGACCCCACCGGTGGCGCATTTTTCCAGCAACGACTGAAACTGAAAAAGCGGAATTGGGAATCCGAGGAACACGAATGCTCGCCAAAGCAAAACGGACAAAAATTGGCGCAAATTTACTCGCGAGGCGCAACCAGTGACGTCGTCGTCGGGGCTTTTTTTCAGTGCGTGAGTGCTTTTTTAGCCGACCGGCAAATTTTTATTCCTTAAATTGGGCTAGAAAAAAATAATAAAATAACTAGTAGGCGCCACCGGACATAAAAATCGGGCATTATTCTGCTATTTCGATGGAAAATGATTTTTTTTTTTTTGACTGAGAGAAGAGAACCAGACCTAGCACTCGCTGACTCGCGTCTCGCTGGATGGGTCGTCTGCCGGCCCGCCTGCACGCACGCAAAACGCCACTGACTACCCTATTGCCATCTCACTCGAATCCGTGCTAACGTGTCGGTGTTGTGTGTGAGTGTTCTCTGTGTATGTGCAACAAACAACGGCTGCCGCTATAAGAGAAAAAAAAAATTGTAAATAAATACAAATACTAGTCGGCGCGCGCGTAAATTAAATTATCTTCTATAGATCAAATTAATTGTTTAGAAATTGTAAAAAATATCGGCTGTGGAATGGAAAATTGAGAAATCATATTGGAGCATTTTAGGCTTTGAGCAATTTGAAATTAATTTGTTCTGTGCGTTGTTTGCATGCCCACCGGTTTGTTAGACAGGGACGACGATAGTGTTTGTGCCTTCTGTGGCGGCTGTTTTTTCGCTTTTCTTCTCTGTTCCATTCGCGGCGGCTGATTTTCGGCTCGTCTTTCTCCCTACCGTTCGCAGCGAGAGCGAGCGGAGCTGAGCGGAACAGAAAGCGTGCCCGCAAGAGATGATCAAATCCAGTGACTCATCCTTTATTGACTCCCCTTTTATATTAGGGCGCGAAATTAAATTTGGGGGAATTTTTAATGTTTTCTTTTAATTATTGGAAAACCTTATTCTCCAAAATGTTATTAGTACTTTTTGGCAATATTTTAAGTCAAAAGTTGTATTCAGGTAATTGGTTTATTGAAAAGTGGTGACTGTGATTGCTTAAAAATATTTGGGGAACAGTCACGGTGATTAAGGCTCATCTCTTGACTCGCTACTTTGTTATCTGGCGCGCCATATGTATGCGCACTCTCTCCACTTCTACACTTGCCTGCCCACGGCGCATTCTCTGGCTCTCTCTGAGAGCGGAATGGCGTGAGCGACTAGCCACAACTTGTCGTGTCGTCGGATCGCTCTCATATTCTCCGGCGGCGTCTCGGTCGCAGCGAAAGTGGTGGCACTAACAGTGACTTTACACGATTTTCTGTTAGGTCACATGGGATTGTGTCATTGCTAAATCTGAATCAGAGTTTCGTTTAAAATGCAAAATTCTTTTCACTATATTTTATTGCTTCTCTAATAACTAAAGTAACTAAAATGTTGTATTGAAAAATATAAAAAAAATGGTTAATCATTTTTTTGAGCTATTATGCGTTTATTGATTTTTAAAATGCAAAAGAAATGTATAAATATTTATGGTCTATTTTGTTTTTAGTAGAGATCCAAACCCCGGGTCCAAGAACCCTGGACAGAAGGTTAGCAGCGCCAGAAACCAATGTGTGATTTCACTGGCGACAGCGCTGCCGCCAACAGGGCAATTGAGAGCCGGAGAGGCGGGCGCACGATGAGAGAGCCGATGAGGCGACGAGTGGCGGCGAGGCAAAGCAGACGGATTTAAGCAAACGCAACGCTCACTCTTTGTTATTGCACGATAATTTTTAACACACAGCGGACTGAAGTTTTTTTGTTTTAGTGTTGCGAAAAAGTTTGTGGGAATTTTAAAAAATTCGCGGAAAATGTGAAAAATATATGGTATTAAATCAAAATTCGAGAAAATTCCCAAGAATATTCTAAAATTGAGTGCGTGGCAAAATGTTGACTTTTGCAAATCGAATTCAATGCCGCAATTTCGCTGAAATTTTTTTCAAATTTTCTTAACAATTTCATCGAATTTCGCATTTGCTCGAAATAATTTTGTGATTTTTGTGTGAATTGAAAAAAATTAAAAACGCTTCTCGGACAACACAAAAAATTTCTGCAATAGAAACTTTGATACGACGTGAAGAAAACGAACGAACGAAACGAAACGAGCGGACACAGAAAAAAAATGGAATATATTTCTGTCGTCTGTTTTTCTTTCTTTTTCCAATGCTCCTCGCACTCATTGCTCGCTTACCGACGTGTGTGTATGCACACTAATGTGCGGTTACCAATACTACTACGGAAGCATATGGAGAGAGCGTAACGCTCTCTCTCTCTCTCTCGGAATCGTGCGCGCGTGCCTGTGTGTGTGTGTGCGTGTGTGTGTGTTGCGAGTTAAAACCAACGAGTATAGTATGGCTGTGTAGTGAAAATGAGAATTTCTGTACGCGCGCCCCAAACTTTTGCCATCTCTCTGGTTGTCTTTGTGTGCGTGTTTTGGGGGCTTCTCTAGTGTGTGTGTGTGTGTGAACGCGAAAGCTTTTGTGCGCCAGCAGTGCTCCACTGTTGCCGTCTCTATCGTGCGCTCTACTCGCCACTCGCCGCCCCAACAAAATTTAATTTCATATGATGATGGCCGCTCCGCTCAGCTCGAATGCGGAAGCAAAACCAAAATACGGCTACTTTTTTTCCAAAAGATTTTTTTAAATAAATATTTGTTTTTATTAAAAATGAGGATAGTAATTAGGGCAAGATTTAGGTTTTAAAAAAAAAAAAATTTTGAAAAATTTTTGTTTATATTTTTGAAATTTCTTTTGGATTTTTTTTGTTTTTTTAAATAAATCTTATTGAAAGAAATTTTTTTTGTTTTAAAATTTGTATTTATTTTTATTTTTTTTTTTAATAATAAAAAAGTTCTAGTCTTTATTGGCGGCACTTGTTTTGGGGCCTGGCGGCAAAATAGACTTCTATTATTTTCATTTTCGGTGTCCGCCGCCAATACACAGTGGCAGAGCAGTTTGGACGAGCGAGCGAGTAGGTCGGTTCGCAGTCGTCGTCGTCGTCGTCAAGCGGCAGAGAAACGGAGAATTCTCATACCGTTCCAGGTTTATCTTCTTCTCCCCTTGTTTTCTCTGTTCCTCCGCTGTGTTGGGTTTTCGTTCCATTTCGTTCCTTCGTGTTACGCGCCGCGGCTACAAAAATAAATAAATATTTGAGAATTAGGATTTATTTTTTTTTTAAACAAAAATTAAAAAAAAAAAATATACATAGTTGGATTTTTTGTCCTTATTTTTTTTGGTTTTTTTTTTGTTGCAGTTTATGTGCAATGTTAGAGCGGCAAACGGCGGCAGCAGCAACAGCAGCAACAAAAACAACATCAGCAACAACAACAAAAACAACTTTTGGCAGCAGCAGCAACTTCAGCAACAACAATAACAACAAAAATAACAGCCTACATGTGAATTGCTTTTTGTATTTAAAACAAAACTACGAATTAAAAATTAAATTAAAAATAATAAAGTGAAAAATTACAAAAAAAATTTACAAAAAAAAAAAAACCGCCAAAAAACAAACAAAAACAAAAAACAAGTAAAAATGTTGCAACTGAGAGCGTAACACAACAGAGAAGAAGAAGAAATAGAAGTGCGGTGGCAGAAGTGGCAGCAGCAAGGGGCAGCATTATATTTCCTTCTTAAAAAAGCAACATCTTCCAAAAGAAACAACAACAACAAATAATAACAAATAAACAACAAAACAACAACAAGAAAGCTAGAAAGAGAGAGAAAGATAGTTAGAGAGTGAGAGAGAGAGAAAAATTATTAATTATAATATTAGAGCCCGCCCAGCCAAGGTCAACTTTTGGTTTTGGGGCAGAAACAACACAAAATGCACGCGTGTGTCTGCTGCTGTTCGACAAACAACAATTGCAACAACAACACAAACGACAGCAACAACAGCAACGGCAGCAACAACACCACCAGCAACAACATCAGCAACAACAACAACAACAAGCAGAAGTGCAACATTGTGAAAAAGGAGTGCAACAAGCCAGTGAAGAAGGATAACATTGAGGAGGAGAGTTCGAAAGTTCAGAAGAAACAACAACAACAACAACAACAACACCAGGGCAAGGATAAGAGCAAGCAACATCCCATTGAGGAGTTGCTGTTGTCTGCTGGCCAGAGAGCCAGTGGCGGCGACGACGACAACAACAACAACAACAATAATAACAAAGACGAACACGACCACAACGATCTCAACGGCGCCGCAACGATCTCAACGAGGCGGTGGTGGCGGCGCGATCCTCCGGGAGCGATTACGTCGACGACGTCCTTCACCAAGTCCTTGCCACCAAGTAGTAGTAGTAGTAGTATCAGTAGTAGCATCGTCACCTATAATATTATTATTATTGTTATTGAGGTGACGATAGCGATAGTACTGTTGTTGTTGCTGTCGTTCTACCGGCAAATCATCAACAACAACAACAACAACAACAACATTATTGGGAGCAGCAGGAGCGGCAGCAGCAACAACAACAACATAACAACTCAACAGCAGCAGCATCCTTTACCTTCCACTACTACCAACTCTTCTTCTTCATCATCGTCATCTGCAACTGCAACAACAAAAGCAAAAAATAAACAACAAACAACAACAACAACAACAGAATTATTATTATTATTGAAAGAAGAAGCAGCAGGACAAGGAGCAGGATTAGGAGCAGGACCAGGAGCAGTGTTAGTTTACGCCATTTGAGTGTGTGTGTCCCCCTCTCTCACACTATATACCCCACTCTCTATAACCGAACTCTACCATCCTCCCACCATCTTCTTCTTACCAAAACTCTCTCTCTGTGTCTGTGTGTTGCAAAGTGTTTAAAAATAAAAGAAACAACAAAAACAAACAAACCAAAACAACAACCAACAAAGAGGAAGAGACAAACAAAAAAAATAACGGTTCATCAGCAGTAACAATAACAACAAACAAGAAGAACATCTTCAAACATTAAACAACACTGCAAAACTCAGTTCGTTTACGGTTTTCAATATTTTTTTTAAAATTATTTTGGCAACCTGTGCAACAAATGTCAAAAAATAGCAAAAAAAGAAAATTTAAACGAAAAAGAGTTAAAGAACGAACCTCATCTTGAAGCTACAAAAAAAAAAAATAATACGTGCAACAAGCTCTTGAAACAAACTGTAAAAGCAAATACAAAAACAACAAAAAAGAACAAACTAACGGTGAAACAAAAACAACAAACAAAAAATACAACAACAACAACAACAACAACAAGGGAAACATCAAGAGAGAGTATCCCTTTTGCGTGAAAAAAACGGGATCCAACGGGAGTCGTGTTGTCTCGTTCTCGTTATAATTTTGTTTTGTTGTTGTTGTTTGTTTCTTTTCTTTCAAATATCCCGTTTTTTTTTTTGTTTTTTATTTTGGGTTTCGATTGCTGGCTCCCGACAGGAGCAGCCACATCGAACACATACCACTAATTCTATATGATGGCCGATCACTTAGACGAACCGCCTCAGAAGCGGGTCAAAATGGATCCAAGTGAGTTTTAAATTCCCCAAAATTCCCCTCTATCCTTCTATCTAATTATTCTATTTTAGAGACTATATTTAGTATCCTTAAGAGTCCTTATGAAGTCCCATGGTTGAAGGAAAATTTTCACAATTTTTAGCAATATATAAATATATATATATTTTTTTTTTATATTTTGACATCTGTCAAAATTTGAGGTTACTTTGATTTAAAAAAAAAAGACATCAAAGTTCTTTATGGAACTTTTATGGAACTTTATGGGTTCTTTTATGGAACTACAAGCTTTATAGTATATATAACCCTTAGAGATGATCTTCTATTAATCTTCTATGGGTTTTAAATGATATAATATATCATATCCATCAGTTATAATGAGTTTAGATCAGTTCTTTGGGTTTTAAAATGATATAATATATGATATCCATAAGTTCAAATGAGTTTAGTTCAGTACTTTTATAAAGAAAGCTTCCAAAAACAAAGATATACTGTTCTTTCGGGTTTAAAAATGATATAATATATGATATCTGTCAGTTCTTATGAGTATAGTTCAGTTCTTTTATAAAGAAAAGTCCCAAAAACAAAGATCCTTTGGGTTTTAAAAATGATATAATATTATATCCATCAGTTCTAGTGAGTTGAGCTCAGTTCCTTTATATAGAAAAGTCCTTAAAACCAAAGATATTTTAAAATGAAATAAATACCTATATAAATCCCAAAGATAACTTCCGAATAAGACTTAAAAACCCTATAATACCTTTACAACTCACTATATCTCTATTATATCTCCCTCTAGAACTCAGATCTAGACCACCCCTCCACCTATTCCCCACTTTTTAAAAACTTACCTTATAAAATTACTAAAAAAATGTTCTCCTTATAGCGGACATCTCCTTCTTCCTGGAGGAGAACCTGCCCGACGAGTTGGTGTCCTCGAATAGCGGCTGGTCGGATCAGTTAACCGGCAGCGGTGGGGGCGGCGGCGGTGCCCCCGGTGTTAATACAAATTCCACCTCCGGACCAAATGCCGGCGGCGGACCAAATAAACCACCTGCCCAGGGACCGGGACCCGGTTCTGGACCTGGCGGCGTTGGTGTCGGAGTCGTCGGCGGCGTTAATGTGGGCGTCGTCGGCGGCGTCGGCGTTGTGCCTTCCCAGATGAATGGAGCCGGCGGCGGCGGCGGCGGCAATGGCGGCAATTCCAGTACTGGTGGCGATGATGGCAACGGCAATGGCACTGGTGGCGGCGGTGGCGGTAATGCCGGCCCTCAGCTACGTCACATGCAACATCAGCAACAGCTGCAACATCTGCTCCAACAGCAACAGCAACAGGGCCAGAAGGGCGCCATGGTGGTGGCCGGAATGCAGCAACTGGGCAGCAAGTCACCCAATCTGCAGTCACCGAATCAGGGCGGCATGCAGCAGGTGGTGGGCACACAGATGGGCATGGTGAACACGATGCCCATGTCCATATCGAATAACGGCAACAACGGAATGAATGCCATACCAGGTGAGTGTCCAGACTTCCAGAGATTTCCAGATTATACCCCCCCCCCGTATAGTGTTGTGTGTGGAAGGTTAGACTTTGACAGGACGACTGCCGTCTGGGAATGGGAAACTTCTCTAGAAACTGTCATGTAGACTGGGAATTCAAACTCATATTTCCAACACACATCTCAGACAGTTCTTGGTGTGAATTTTTTTTATAAACAAGTAGGCTTTTTTTTTTTTTAAGTAAATACTTAAATATCTCAATTACACTAAGCAAGCCAATTTTAACCAGAAATGAGGTTATGATTTTGCAATATTATTAGTTCATTACATTATTTATATGAGTTGGGTTTATTAATAATATAAGTTCAAGACTTATGCTATGATCTTGTGATGTGGTGCTTATTATAACTCCTCATTTTTATTATTATAACCTTTAGGTAGGAGGTATAGATGGTTATAAAAGGGTTATAAATGGTTATACAATTTTCAAGACCTTATTAAAATAAAAGAAGGAATAGAGAACTACCTTGGGATATTCCAAAATATGTAATCTTTTTTTCAAAAAAAATATCCCTACATCCTTAGTTCTAATAAAGATTTTCCATTTATACATTATTTTGTTAGTTTTATTTTTTTAAATTTGAAATTTATTTATAACTCTTAAAGTTATAATTCTTTTACTTTACATGATAGTTTATTTTTGTAAAATACATAATTTTGTAAAGTTTCAGAATAATAGGTAGTAAGGTTTAGGATATTTTTGTATTAAGAAGAGGTCTTTTCCAGTAAAGAGTATAGAAGTTGGTTTAAAACAAGGGATATTTTGATATAATTTATATATTATATTTTATTTTCTTGCCAAAATATATTTTTTCAATGTCTTTATAATTTATTTATCAATTTTTTTTAAAGGTTATAAAGCCTACTCAAAGGCTATCATACGCCTTCTATATTTTATAATAATAATAAAAGAATAAGGGGTTCTAAAAGCTAGTGGTTCTAGAGTTCTAGAAAAAGGGAATCCAACAACAAGGATGATTTAATTCATTAATATAGAAGAAGTATATAAATTCTTAAATCTAATCTCTTAAATAAAAATATAAAATTAAAAAAATAATTAAAGAATAATTAGAATAATAATAAGAATAATTAAATAATTTAAAAAAAGATATTTTTCAAAGTCCCTAAAAGATGCCTTAAAGAACGTTCTAGAACTTCTTGAGAAACCTAGCTCCCTAGACCCTAGCATCCCCCCCATGTATTACCTCCAAGACACACCACTAACCACCTATTTCTGATTAATCCCTGCCAGGCATGAACACCATCGCCCAGGGCAATCTGGGCAACATGGTGCTGACGAACAGCGTTGGCGGCGGAATGGGCGGAATGGTCAACCAGCTGAAGCAACAGCAGCCAGGCGGCGGCGGCGGTGCCGGTGGCATGATCAACGCTGTATCCGTACCCGGTGGTCCCGGCGGACCCGGTGCCGGTCCTGGAGCTGGTGGAGGCGGCGCAGTCACACCCAACCAGGGCATGCACATGCAGAATGGTCCGATGATGGGTCGCATGGTGGGGCAGCAGCATATGCTCCGCGGACCGCATCTTATGGGAGCTGCGGGTGGTGCCGGAGGACCCGGCAATGGACCCGGAGGCGGTGGACCACGCATGCAGAATCCCAACATGCAGATGGGTGAGTATCCTTGTGGCGACTGGTCGAGATTGGGAGCTTGTATTTAATGCGAATCATCCTTGCAGGGCAACTGAACAGCCTGCCCTACGGAGTGGGTCAGTATGGCGGACCCGGCGGCAACAATCCCCAGCAGCAACAGCAGCAGCAGCAACAGCTCCTGGCGCAGCAGATGGCCCAGCGGGGCGGTGTAGTGCCGGGCATGCCACAGGGCAACCGGCCGGTGGGCACCGTTGTGCCACTGCCGACGCTGGGCGGCGATGGATCCGTCTCCGGCGGCCAACTGGTGGGCGGTAATCCACAGCAACAAATGCTGGCCCAGCAGCCGGGCGCGATGGGCCCCAGGCCGCCGCAACCAAACCAACTGCTTGGCCATCCTGGCCAGCAGCAGCAACAGCAGCCGGGAACGTCGCAACAGCAACAGCAAGGAGTCGGTGGTATTGGTGGTGCTGGCGGTGTGGTGACTGGAGCAGGCGGCGGTGCCGGTGGTGGTGGCGGAGTAGTAACTGGTGCCGGTGGCGTGGCGACAGGCGGTCCGGGTGGCGGCAGTCGCGACGTTCCCGACGACCGGAAGCGGCAGATCCAACAGCAGCTGATGCTACTCCTCCATGCCCACAAGTGCAACCGACGCGAGAACCTGAACCCGAACCGTGAGGTGTGTAATGTTAACTACTGCAAGGCCATGAAGGCCGTACTCGCCCACATGGGTACATGTAAGCAAAGCAAGGATTGCACGATGCAACACTGCGCCTCCTCGCGACAGATCCTCCTACACTACAAGACCTGCATAAACAGCGCCTGCATAATTTGCTATCCCTTTCGACAGAATCATTCGGTGTTCCAGAACGCCAATGTCCCACCTGGCGGAGGCGGCGGAGGGTCCCAAGTTGGCGGCAATACTGTGGCCGGTGGGCCCGTAACCGCAGGACCTGGCGGTGCTGGTGGTAACAATGCTGGCCCCGGTGCACCCGGTGGCATCCAGCAACAGCAACAACAACAACAGCAGCAGCAGAACCAGCAGCAGCAGCAGCCCAACCTCTCTGGCCTGGTGGTGGACGGTAAGCCGGGCCAGCAGCAGGTGCCGCCCGGTGGTGGCCAGAATACGGCCATCGTGTTGCCACAGCAGCAACAGGGCGGAGCGGGCGGCGGTGGCGGCGCTCCCGGAGCACCAAAGACCCCGCAGGACATGGCCCAGCAACTGGCCCAGCAGCAGCAGCAGCAGCAGGTGCACCAGCAACAAGTCCAACAGCAGCAGGAGCTGCGCCGGTTCGACGGCATGGGCCAGGTGGGACTGTCGCCCGTGACGGGTGGTGGCATGCAGCAGCAGCAGCAACAAGGCCTGCCGCCCACCATCCGTATGCAGGGCGCCCCGCCAGCCGTCAGGGTACTCGGACCCGGTCCCGGACCCAGTGGACCCAATGTCCTGCCCAACGACGTCAACAGCCTCCAGCAACAGCAGCAGCAACAGATGCTCCAGCAGCAACAGCAGGGTCAGAACCGCAGACGTGGCGGCGGCCTGCCCAACATGGTGGACCAACAGCAGCAGCAACAGCCCAATCCCTCCCAGCTGGGCGGCAACATTCCAGCACCGCTCTCGGTGAACGTCACCGGCTTTGGCAATGCCAATTTCGGTGGAGCCGGCGGTGCCGCAGTGCCCGGCGGTGGAGCCAACGACAAGCAGCAGCTGAAGGTGGCGCAGGTCCATCCCCAGACCCATGTGGTTGGGGCGGCCGGCAATGCCGGAGCGGCTGGCAGCGGAGCGAGTGGCGGTCCTGTAGGAGCGCCCGGTTCCAGCTCACTTATGCCCGCGGATACGACTGGTGCCGGTGGCGGCCCCAATGCGGGCGGTAATCCCAACCAGAATGCTGGCGCAGGAGCGGGCGGCGCTGGCGGTGGCGGAGGCGGTGGCACACCCGGCGACAATGAGAAGGACTGGCGGGAATCGGTGACGGCCGATCTGCGTAACCATCTCGTCCACAAGCTGGTGCAGGCCATCTTCCCCACCTCCGATCCCACCACCATGCAGGACAAGCGCATGCACAACCTGGTCTCGTACGCGGAGAAGGTCGAGAAGGACATGTACGAGATGGCCAAGTCGCGCTCCGAGTACTATCACCTCCTGGCCGAGAAGATCTACAAGATCCAGAAGGAGCTCGAGGAGAAGCGTCTGAAGCGCAAGGAGCAGCACCAGCAGCAGATCATGCAGATGCAGCAACAGCAGGCGACGGGCGGCGCGGGCACAGCCGGTGGCGCCGGAGGAGTGGCAACCGGTGGTGCGACACCCGGAGGAGCCGGTGGTGTTGGTGTCGGTGTTGGCGGTGTCCTGCCGCAACAGCAGCAGGGACAACAGCCCGGCCAGCAGCCGGGTGTCCAGCCAGGAGTACGTCCCATCATCAGTCCCATTGGCGGTGTGATGCCGCCCCAGTTGCGACCGCAGGGTCCGCTGGGCATGGTCGGCCAGCAGCCGGGCGTCGGTGTGGGCGTCGGCGTTGGAGTCGGTGTGGGTGTGGGCGGAGTGACCAACAACATGGTGACGATGCGCAGCCACTCGCCCGGCGGCAACATGCTCACCCTGCAACAGCAACGCATGCATTTCTCCCAGCAACCCCAGCCCCTGAATCCGGTATCCGGAGCGGGCAATATGCTCGTCGGTCCCCCAGGGCCTAGTCCTGGCAGCATGGTCGGCAATCCCGCTCTATCCCCCTACCAGATGGCATGCAGTCCGGCGCAACCCCAACCGTTCATCAATGCGAACGGTGGCAGCGGTGCCGGCAATCCTCAGCTGAGCGAGATGATGAAACAGCGACAGATCCACCAGCAGCAGCAACAGCAACAACAACAGCAACAGCAGCAGCAGCAGGGCATGCTGATGCCACAGTCACCGTTCAGCAATGCCACGCCCCTGCAAGCGGGCGGCAACAACTTCAGTTCCTCCATGCAACAGCAGCAACAGCAGCAGCCGCAGCAACAGCCGCAGCAGCAGCAGCAGAAGCCGGGCAGCGTGCTGAACAATATGCCACCCACGCCCACCAGCCTGGAGGCGTTGAATGCTGCCAGTGGCGGTGGAGCCGGAAGTGGCGGAGCAACTGCAGCAACGAACTCGAATGCAACGGTTGCGGCGCCGAGCCCATCACCGGGCTTCCTCTCCAATGGACCCTCGATCGGTACGCCCTCGAACAACAACAACAATAACAACAACAACAACAGCAGCAGTAGTGCCAACAACAACCCGCCCTCGGTGTCCAGCCTGATGCAACAGCCGTTGAGCAATCGGGCCGCCACACCACCCTACATACCCGCCTCACCGGTGCCGGCGACGAGTGCCTCCGGCCTGGCGGCGAACAGTACACCAGCCTCGGCGGCGGCCACCTGCGCGAGCAGCGGCAGTGGCAGCAACAGCAGCAGCAGCGGCGGTGCGACCGGCAGCGGGGCAGCTGTGGCCACCACATCGGCGACAACGCCGCTCAGCTGTGCCTCGTCCTCGGTGGCCACACCCACATCGGCGACCATGGCTTCCAGCAGCAATAGCAGTGCTGGCGGCGCGGGAACCGGCAGCGGTACGGCCACCACACCCGCCAGCAACTCCATGCTCCTCATGTCCGGCGGCTCGGGCGCCAGCGGCGGCGGCGGCGGCGGAGGAGGAGCGACCAGTGCAGCAACCACCACACCTTCCTCGACGAGCAGCGGCCGAATGATGAGCAGCTCCATGAGCCTGTCCTCCCAGATGGCGGCACTGGAGGCGGCGGCCCGCGATAACGATGACGAGACGCCCTCGCCCTCCAACGAGAACACCAATGGCAGCGGTGGCAGTGGCAATGCCGGCGGCATGGCCTCCAAGGGCAAGCTCGACTCGATCAAGCAGGAGGACGACATCAAGAAGGAGTTCATGGACGACAGCTGTGGCGGCAACAACGACAGCTCCCAGATGGACTGCTCCACGGGCGGCGGCAAGGGCAAGAACGTCAACAACGACGGCACCAGCTGCATCAAAATGGAGATCAAGACGGAGGACGGCCAGGAGGTCAAGATCAAGACCGAGGTCATGGATGTGGACGAGGCCGGTGGCTCCACAGCGGGCGGTGCCCATCACGATGGCGGTGCCGAAGGTGGCACTGGCAAGGATAACATCAATGGTGCCCATGACAGTGGCGCGGCCGGTGGCAGTTCCGTGGACATCAAGCCCAAGACGGAGACGAAGCCATTGGTGCCAGAGCCACTGGCTCCCAATGCTGGTGACAAGAAGAAGAAATGCCGTAAGTATTCCTTGAAGTATATTGAAGTTGTCCAGTACATGTCCGTCTGATATAGAACTGGGTTCACGAAGACTATTATTAAAGGAATCTGAATAATTTATATATTTATTTATTTTATGATTAATTTATCATTTATCGATACTCAAAATTTGATAATCTTAAATCCTTTTATTAAAATCCTAAAGCTTTAAAATCAAATTCTCCACTTATTTTAATCGATATAAAGTGTTTGTAAATTAAAGCCATTGAATGAAACTTGTTTCTTAGAAAGTTTTTATAAAAAAGTGTTTAAAAATCACAAAATCCGATAACAGAAAATTATTTAAAATTAACTAAAGCTTAGAAATATGAAAAATTTAAGAAAAAATCGAAGGAAATATCGAAAAACTTAAACTAAATAAAGGTTATTAGATAAAACCTACTTCAAGTGCTTTAAAATACTTCTAGAAGTTATCGAGACTCAAAAATCGTTATCGAAACTTGGAAATATTTGAAAGTTAAAACTCAAATCATAGTATTGAACATTGTTAGTATTATAGTATTATAGTAACATGATAGTATTGTTCATCGATATAAAGTGTTTGAAAACCCAGGTTATAAGAAGAAATATATATATAAGTGTTTAAAAATCCTATCCTACTTATAGAAATTCGATTTTCGATAACTTAAAAACCTCCCATTTCATCGAAAACTTTGAGACTTTTGAAATTTCAAAATCAAATCATAGTATTGAAAAACAATAATCGATATAAAGTGTTTGAAAAGCCAGGTTAATAGAAGAAATAATGCCTATAAAGTGTTTAAAGATTCCAAATTATTTATCGAAATCCAACATAAAAGTATAGAACATCGATATAGGGTTTACCAACCCCAGATCCCAAGTGTTTAAAAGCTCAAAAATATTTATCGACTAGGACTTCGATTATTTTTTTCTTTTCACATCAATGGACTGGGAATATATACGTAGAGGCTAGTTTTTCTTAAGAAAAAATTTTCATAAAATTTTCTTTAAAAAAAAAAGTGTCTTATTTTATTAAAATATGTTATTCCCAACTAGAATTCAATCCGGAGGAACTCCGTACGGCTTTATTGCCAACGCTGGAGAAGCTATTCCGTCAGGAACCCGAATCCGTGCCATTCCGTTACGCCGTGGATCCGCAGGCTCTCGGTATACCCGATTACTTCGAAATCGTTAAGAAGCCAATGGATCTGGGCACCATACGGAACAATATCCAGAATGGCAAGTACAGTGATCCCTGGGAATATGTCGATGATGTCTGGCTAATGTTCGACAATGCCTGGCTATATAATCGTAAGACTTCCAGGGTATATCGTTATTGTACAAAGGTGAGACTTCTATAGTTATATCTTTTAATGATTTTCAACTAATAATTATGATATTTTTTTTATAGCTTTCGGAGGTTTTTGAGGCGGAAATAGATCCGGTTATGCAGGCTCTGGGCTATTGTTGTGGCAGGAAGTACACCTTCAACCCACAAGTACTGTGCTGTTATGGAAAGCAGCTTTGTACGATACCACGGGATGCCAAGTACTATAGCTACCAGAACAGGTATGTTTCCTCATAGAGTATAGATCTGAAGAAAAAAAAAAAAAAAATAATAGGATCTGCTAACGTTAATTTTTTTGTGTTTCTGTTGTTTCTCTGTTCGATGTGAAATGTAATAATCATATATATATATATATACATTTTTTTTTGTTAGAAAAAAAAAGCTTGTTCCTCTTTGCGAATGCCACAAAAATTAAAAATTAAAGCGAATCTTGGACTTAATTCCAAAATAAATGGCTAGTTTTGGTGTTTAATATTGGCTCTAAAATAATATTTTTAAAAAAAATTACCAAAAGAGCTTCTAGTTTCTCAGTTATATATAGATATATATTTGTATATAAAAACAGATCGCTTTTCATGGCTGCGCCTTCAGATTCTTTTCCAAAAAAAAAAAAAAATAGCAAGCATCTAGCATCTAATTTTTTATTCTTAAAAATCTATATATTAATTAATATATAAATTGTACGTTTTGTGCACTAATTTTTGATGGCCTTCCTGCTAAAACCTAATCCCTTAATTAATTTATTTTTTTTTTGTATTCCTGTGTGTCCTTTGTGTGTGTGTATGTGTTTCTCCTTTCAATGTTGCCTATATGTTGCTATAGAAATCATTGATGTTGCACATTGCACTAGAAAATATAAATTAAAAAAAAAAAAATAAACACACACACATACACACGCTCTTAGAAAAAAAATAGATATTTTTTTTTTAATGCTTCAGCTTGATGCGCCACAAAGAAAGTCCTTCTATAAGGATTAGATCCTTGGAGAAAAATAGAACAACCTTCAAACATTCCACATTTTTCGAGTAGAACAAAAGAACCATAAAATTGTAAAAAAAAAAAATAAAAAACAGATCTTGTTTTAGCATTTTATTCAAAAAAAATAAAAATAATTTTGAATAACTTGCTAAAATATATTTTTATTATATTTCTAATTTTCTTTAAATGTCGTCTTTAAATGTGAAACAAATTCTAATGCAAATCACTTGTTTGGTTTTCTCTTTTTCTTTATTTTTCGTTTCATTTTTTACTTTTCTTCCTCCCGCAAAAAAAAACAAAAAAAAAATTACAAAAAATATAAATAATAATAATATTATAACAATTAATAATAATAATACCCGTTAACCTGTGTCGCCTCATAACTGTATTATTATTGCGTGTCTTTACCAAAAAAAAAAAAAAATATATATTATATCTGTGTGTGCATATCATCTCTATATATCTCTCTCTTTTTGTGTGACTGTGTGTGTGTGATTAATCAAAAAAAAAAATTAATTAATTAATAACAAAAAAATTGTAAATCTCACACAACAACACCCGATACACACACTCGCTTGCACGCATAAAAAACACCTGAAAAACACTACTACTACACCTGTACACATGCCTGTGTTGTTGTTACTTTGGTTGCCAAATTATCCAAAACAAAACACACACAAAACAAATACAACAAACATTCAACAAAAAAAAAACAACTAAAAAACGCGTACAAATCAACAATTAAAATATCAAAACATAAATTCGAAATAAAAAATGAACAACAGTCTAAAGGAATACGGTGTTGCCTCAAATAGATACACCTACTGCCAAAAGTGCTTTAACGACATCCAGGGCGATACGGTCACACTGGGCGACGATCCTCTACAGTCACAAACGTAAGTATTTGGATTTTTATACTATATAATCTTAGATATATGTCTTATATTAAAAAAAACCTTTAGAACTCATAGTTTGTTTTATAAATAGTGAGTTTTAAAAGGTATATTTGGATTGGGATTACTTCCAAGGAGAATATGATACTGTCCGTGTGTCCTTTTGTCCGTTAAAACTCTAAATAAACTTCTAAAATGGTTTTTAAATTAAAGAAAAAAGTTATAAGGATAAGAAATACTTATAGTAAGAAGCTAGACTTATAGGGACTAAGTAAAGTATATATATTTTTGATCTAGATCTTCCTAAGTTCCTTTGGAGCTTCTTCCAACTGTCCGTTTGTCTCTTAAAGGTCCAAGAATCTTTTAGAATAGAGAAACCTTCTGAAATATGAAACAAAAAGGGTTATAACTTCTAAAAATAGTTAGTTCTAACAGCTAGACTTTGAAGGTATGTATATTCCTGATCAGGATCATCTTAAATAGGCCATAGAAGCCTTGTCCGCCTATCCGCGTGTCCGTTAAAGTTCTAAAAACTATGTAGAATTGAGACTATCAACAAAAGAAAAGGTTTTAGCTTGCAGAAATAATCATTACAAGAATAAAGAATTCAAAACTAGATATTCCTGATCAAGATCACCATCAATAGCCCAAAAAAGCCTTGTCCGCCTGTCCGCGTGTCCGTTAAAAGTCTAAAACCCTTGTACCATCAAGACTATCAACAAAAAAAAGGTTCTACCATGCAGAAATAGTTATTACTAATAGATAGACATTAAAACTATATATATTCCTGATCAGGCTCATCCTTCATCCTACAGAAGCCTTGTCCATGTGTCCGCGTGTCCGTTAATCTGTTTCTAAGCCAACTACCCCCTCAGTTTCAAAGCTATTACCTTGAGACTTCACACAATGCCCTCTGGTCTTTAGATACAACCACCAGCCATAATTCAGATCATTTAAGATCAGCTATCTATATCCTATATCTTATATATCTTATAAATCTTTCAGTCAAATCAAAAAGGACCAGTTCAAGGAGATGAAGAACGACCATTTGGAACTGGAACCGTTTGTCGATTGCCAGGAGTGCGGCCGGAAGCAGCACCAGATCTGCGTGCTCTGGCTGGACTCGATCTGGCCCGGCGGCTTTGTGTGTGATAACTGCCTGAAGAAGAAGAACTCGAAGCGAAAGGAGAACAAGTTCAATGCCAAGCGCCTGCCCACCACCAAGCTCGGCGTCTACATCGAGACCCGCGTCAACAACTTCCTCAAGAAGAAGGAGGCCGGAGCGGGTGAGGTCCACATCCGAGTGGTGAGCTCGTCGGACAAATGTGTGGAGGTGAAGCCCGGAATGAGGCGTCGATTTGTGGAATCCGGTGAGATGATGCAAGAGTTCCCGTACCGGGCCAAGGCACTGTTCGCCTTCGAGGAGGTGGACGGCATCGATGTCTGCTTCTTCGGTATGCACGTCCAGGAGTACGGGTCCGAGTGTCCGGCTCCGAACACAAGACGCGTCTACATCGCCTACCTCGACTCGGTACACTTCTTCCGTCCGCGCCAGTATCGTACGGCCGTCTACCACGAGATCCTGCTCGGCTACATGGACTATGTGAAGCAGCTGGGCTATACGATGGCACACATTTGGGCGTGTCCGCCCTCGGAGGGCGATGACTACATCTTCCACTGCCATCCCACGGACCAGAAGATCCCCAAGCCCAAGCGGCTGCAGGAATGGTACAAGAAGATGCTCGACAAGGGCATGATTGAGCGCATCATTCAGGACTACAAGGACATACTCAAGCAGGCCATGGAGGACAAGTTGGGTTCGGCCGCTGAGCTGCCCTATTTCGAGGGCGATTTCTGGCCAAATGTCCTGGAGGAGAGCATCAAGGAGCTCGACCAGGAGGAGGAGGAAAAACGCAAACAGGCCGAGGCAGCCGAAGCAGCGGCAGCAGCTAATGTGAGTAGTTATTCTTCGATTCTTTTCAAGAAATTTAATGGATTTTCTGATTCTTCTTGTAGCTCTTCTCCATTGAGGACAATGAGGTGAGCGGCGATGGCAAGAAAAAGGGCCAGAAGAAGGCCAAAAAGTCCAACAAGTCAAAGGCTGCCCAACGGAAGAACAGCAAAAAGTCCAATGAACATCAATCGGGCAACGATCTCTCCGCCAAGATCTACGCCACCATGGAGAAGCACAAGGAAGTCTTCTTTGTGATTCGCTTGCATTCGGCCCAGTCTGCAGCTAGCTTGGCGGTAAGTATTCTTAACATTTAAGATCTAATATCAAGTCTTATATATCCTATATTCTATATCCCTTTATAGCCCATCCAAGATCCAGATCCATTGCTGACCTGCGATCTAATGGACGGTCGAGATGCCTTCCTTACCTTGGCCCGCGATAAGCACTTTGAGTTCTCGTCGCTGCGCCGCGCCCAGTTCTCCACATTGTCCATGCTCTACGAGCTCCACAACCAGGGCCAGGACAAGTTCGTCTACACCTGCAACAACTGCAAGACGGCCGTGGAGACCCGCTACCACTGCACCGTCTGTGATGTGAGTAAAGGATGGGTTTTTGTAATTGGGATTTGTGGGGTTATGGAGGTTATAGAGGGGTTATAGCGGGGTTAGTTGAAGGGTTATATAGGGGCTAGGTATAGGGTTATTGAAAAGTTAGTTATAGAGCTATAGGGAGTATAGATAGAGGGTTGTAGAGTGGTTACTTTCAGGGCTATAGAGTCTTTGGTTAAAGGAGTTTGTTTGGGGGTTTTAAAAGGTTCGTTTTCGAGGTTCCAGAGGGTTTATTTAAAGAACCTTAGAAAGGCTATGGTTTATAGGGTTAGTTAGGGGCTATAGGGTTATAGAGTGGAGTAGAAAGTAGTGTCTGTTACAGGGTTATGGAGAGGTTAGTTAGGGGCTTATAGAAGTGGTTTTTCAATGACTATTTGTAGGTTAGTTGAAGGATTATATAGGGGCTCGGTATAGGGTTATTGAAGAGTTAGTTATAGTTAGAAGACTTAGTGCTATAGAAAGGTTAGTTAAAGAGCTATAGAGTGCTTACTTAAAGGGTTATAGAGGGTTATAAAGAGCTTACTTGGAAGGTTATAATGAGTGTATATGTAGGCTAGTTATAGAGTTATAGAGAGAGGTTAGTTATTGAAGTACAGAGGTGTTTCTTTTTGGGGCTCATTAGGCTTATTTTGGAATTACTTATTAGGGTTTTTTAAAATCTTTTTTTTAATAATAAGAGTCTCATTAGAGGGATTGGTTATAGGGTTATACAGAGCTTAGCTATGGGAATTTTTAGAATGGTTCTTTCCAAAGGTTCTTAAAATAATTCCTCAGTTTCCAGGCTTATATTTACAACAGTTTTCATAATAACCATAAAAGAACTAGCTTTTTCTTGAAGTACTAGCGTTTTTCCCACAGAAGACTACTTTCTCTTAGTTTATTTAATGGATAAAATTACAATAGAAACTAACTAAACTCAAAAATCAACGAGGTACAGCCTACAAACAGTCTCGTCAGACAGTCTAGTTTGGTCTAGTATGGTTTGATATTTTTTTTTGGTTTTGAGGCCATGTGCTCCCAGGGCCATAAAAAAAACTGAGAGAGATAAGAAAAATACGTAGAAGTGATAAGATCACTGGGGGGTGGTTGGTATTTTGTGAATAGTCTGATTTTTTAGTCAACGTCTGTAAAATAAATGAGAAGAAATAATAATAATAATCGAAAACTCTATTTTCAGGACTTCGATTTGTGCATTGTGTGCAAGGAGAAGGTCGGCCATCCGCACAAGATGGAGAAGCTCGGCTTCGATATCGACGACGGCTCAGCGCCGGCCGATCACAAGCAGGCCAATCCTCAGGAGGCCCGCAAACAGTCCATCCAGCGATGCATTCAGTCTTTGGTGCACGCGTGCCAGTGTCGGGATGCCAACTGCCGCCTGCCATCGTGCCAGAAGATGAAACGCGTCGTCCAGCACACCAAGAACTGCAAACGGAAGACCAACGGTGGGTGCCCGATCTGCAAGCAGCTCATCGCCCTCTGCTGCTACCATGCCAAGCACTGTCAGGAGCCAAAGTGTCCAGTGCCCTTCTGTCCCAACATCAAGCACAAGCTCAAGCAGCAACAGCTCCAACAAAAGTGAGTATTTCAATTGATTTTGTGGGCTATTGCCCCGTTGGGGTGTTGATTTTAATTAATTGATGCTCTCTCGCATATTGATGGGTTTTTTAAATGGCTTTGATTGCCGGGATGGTTTTTTATTTAGAAATTTTTACAAAAAAAGATGATTTCTTTAAGAAAAGTCTTGAAAATTATAATTATTATGATTTAATTTCTTAGAAAATAGGGAATGGAAGATGTTTTGGATTTATTTTGAGACTAGGAGGTGGAGGATATTGTTCATATTTATTCAAGAATGTTATACAAACCTTCTTTAAAGATTAATATTTTTTAAAGATTTAATTTTTAAGAAAAGACTTGAAAATTATCATTGTATTGAATAATTTTCTTAGAAAATGGGGATTTATTTTAAGGCTCTGAATATAAAAACAGCTTTCCTTAATTTTTAATTCAAGAATTCATTATTTTTATTCAAGAATTTTATACGAAGCTTCTTTAAAAGAATCGAACATTATATTTTTATAAAATTCCCCTTATTTCCCCAAAATAGTATTTAGTATTTTTAAAACAATAATAGACTAACTAACTAATATAATACTTAAACCAAGTACCATTACCTAAAATAATTAGTTCCAAGCATTTTAAATTTTCTCGTTAGTTTTGTTAGGGCAGGCATTGTCAAGCTACTCGTTACTTTGTTCAAAACCGACATTATTCAACACTGGAGGAGAGTATAGACTGCATTGGTAAAGGAGGAAACTCTTATCAGAACGAGAAGAAATCGCGAATCGAAGCAGAAACGTTATAGAATTTCAAGACCGGCCGGCTTAGTACCGGTTTTTTTTTCATTACTTTAAAATAATTGAATTATTTAACTAAATCAAGGTCTTTAGAAAAAAAAAAAAACAGAACCTCTTGCAAGGTTTATTAAGAAAAGATTAAGATTTTGAAAAACTTTCTCGCTGGTGTCTTTTGATCGATCAAAGTACTAGGCCTATTTAGTTATCCCAGTATCAGTAAGGAAATATTTTAATTTTAAAAATGTGTGTCTCTAGACAAGACTTTAAAAAGGCACTTAAACGCAAGTAAGCATCAATTCAAATGAATTGTCAAAAAAAATTCCAAGAAAAAAAAAAACGAAATGAGTAATGAGGTTTTTCGGGGAATTGAGGCTTCGGATGAAACCTCTGTTCTATGACTTTGATCGACAATTTTATGAATCAATTAATAAGAAAAAACAGTGATTAAAAAAATGCATTCATAATAATAAATAAATTTAATGCCCATTTTCGATTCATTTATTCCAACTCAGTTTATTCGCATATCTTTATTTAAAAGAAAAAGGCTCAAGTTTTATATCAAAAGTTATCAAAAAGTTATCAAGTTATTATGAAGGTTATTAAAAAATTTGTACATTTCGAGGAAACAAGTACAAATGAAAACTAAAAAGAGATCTTATCGGTGAATATTAGCTAAAAAAAAAAAAAATAAAAAAAAAGCTTAAATAGTTTCCTTCCTTAAATAAATTCCTTAAGTTGAAAATATTTGAATATTATAATTTTGACTTTATTAGAAGTGCTAATTTTTTGTAGAAAAATTTTTAAAATTCATGAATTTATGAATAATTATTGTTTTGCTTTTGAAGTTCCTTATAAAAAGATCTTATATAAAAAATATCCATATATAAAAATATTCTTATAAAAAAAACCAGGCCTTAATAAATATTTATGCAGTGTAATAAAATATTAATTCCAAGGAATTTGTGCTTTAAAATTAAAAAAAAAAATAAAAAAAACACATATGTGTATGAAAAATTATATATATATATATGTTATATATGAAATTATATATATATATATGTTATATATGAAATTATATATATGAATGTGTATGGGGAAAACCCCTAGCTCTTGTGAAATCATAAGTTAGCTTGATGATAACCCCCATGTTGTGACTCAAGATCAGAAATTCTCATGCCATTAAGAGCCTCAGAAGCCTCAGGAACTTTGAAACTCCAAGACAGAATCTTGTCCTGCGCCATAGTAGCCAATATTCCTAAAATTTGCATCAGTTTTTCAATTCAAAGACTTTAAAGAGCCTTATCATAGGAATAGTAGGACTACAATTCAAGTTAATATCTAATACTATATCTAGTATTGTCTAGTATATATAGTAGCTAGTCTATACCAGTAATAATCTCTAGAAACCAGGAGAGCTAGAGGCATCTAGGTCACCTCTTTAGGCATCCAGGTCCTTAAAAGTCTCTCTTATATTATCCTTATTAATTCTCATAACAATTCTCTTCTATTTCCAGACTCCAACAACAGCAGTTACTGCGTCGTCGCGTGGCCCTCATGTCCCGTACAGCGGCACCCACTGCCATGTCCGGCTCAACGACAGTCAGCGGCCCGGCCGTGGTCGCCAGCGGTGTGCCCGTGGTGGGCATGTCCGGCGTGGCGGTTAGCCAGCAAGTGATGCCCGGCCAGGCGGCCATAATGCCACCGGGACAGGGTGGCATGTCCCCCTCAACGGTGACGGTACCCTCTCCGGTTTCGGGAGGCGGAGCCGGAGCCAGTGCCATGGCGGGCATGACGTCACCACATCCTCATCAACCGGGCATCGGTATGAAGCCCGGCGGTGGCCATTCACCGTCCCCGAATGTACTCCAGGTGGTGAAACAGGTCCAGGAGGAGGCGGCCCGCCAACAGGTGTCGCACGGCGGTGGATTCGGCAAGGGTGTGCCCATGGCGCCACCAGGAATGAATCGCCCGCTGGGCGGAGCCGGTGGCGGAGTGCCCAACCAGAACGTGAACCAACTGGGCGGCATGGGAGTGGGAGTCGGCGTCGGAGGAGTCGGAGGCGTGGGCGGCGTCGGTGGAGTTGGTGTCAATCAGCTGGGCGGCGGCGGAGGCGGTGGTCCGACGGGACCAGGAGGTCCGGGCGGTGTCCCGGGCGGTGCCGGTAACTGCGCCAATGTCCTCAACGCCAACAACCTGCTCTCGATGGACCAGTGGGGCGGCGGCGGTAATCCCGGTGCCGGTGGCAATCCCCAGGCCCGCTACGCCAACAATACGACCGGAATGCGCCAGCCCAACCAGCTCATCCAGCAGCAGCAGAACCTGCTCTCCCAGCAGCAACTCCAACAGCAGCAGATGATGGGTCTGGGCGGCCCCAATCAGATGGGCGGCGGCGGTGGACAGATGCCCGTGGGCGGCCAGCACGGCGGCATGGGCATGGGCGGCATGGGTGCCCCGACAATGGCCGGTGCCGGTGCGGGCGGAGTTCGTCCCCCGCCCGGTGCCGGTGGCGGAGGCGGCGGTGGCGGTCAAGCTTCCGGCAGCCTGAACACCCAGCAACTGGCCCAGATCATGCAGAAGATCAAGAACAATCCGAACAACGAAAGCAACCAGCACATCCTCACCATTCTCAAGCAGAATCCCCAGATCATGGCCGCCATCATCAAGCAGCGCCAGCAGAGTCATCAGTCGCAGATCAATGCTGCTGCGGCAGCTGGAGGCGGAGGAGCCGGTGGTGCTGGCGGTGCCCTTGGGCAGCAGCAGCAACAACAACAGCAGCAAGCCGGCAACGGTCCCCAGAATCCCCAGCAACAACAACAGCAGCAACAAGTGATGCAACAACAACAGATGCAGCACATGATGAACCAGCAGGGCGGACCCCAACAGATGAATCCCAACCAGCAACAGCAGCAGCAGCAGCAGGTGAACCTCATGCAGCAGGGCGGTCCGGGCGGACCAGGTCCCCATCAGCGGATGCCCAACATGCAGAATGCCATGATGGTGCAGAATCTGCCGCCGGGTGTCACCACCCAAGGAGGCATGGTGAGTGATGATGATTATTGAAGAAGGGTTTCTGGGGCTTTGCTGAGATTTCTTAGCTTGAAAGTGGTGGATATTTTTAAAGGCTATATGTTTGTATTTTGAAGTGATGTTTTCTTTATAGGATATTGTATAGTTATAGGTAGATTATAAAGATTATATAGATAGTATAGATAGTATATAAGTACTGCTTTAAGTATATAATTTAGTCCATAATCTTCTATAACTTCGAACTTTTTAAGAAAACATTACTGCTTTAGAGTCTATATTAGTTTTGTTTTTAAGTACATATTCTGTTAGGGATGTAATAGATTTTGTTAGATTTTTTTTATCTACAGTCGCCTCTCGATAATTCGTACCTCTAATTAATTCAACCCATAGAGGTACCTGCACCCCATAGAGTTCCCTAAAAAATCCCTTGATATTTCATACTTTTTCCATGAATTTTAATTTCATTTTTTTTAAGGTCGAGCTTGAGGCTCCTCGAGAGGCTCGAATTATCGAGAGTCCACTGTATATATTTTTTAAGGGATATACTAGTTTGTAAGTTTATTTATTTGGAAGTTTTTTTTTTATATTTAGGTTTCATGTATTTTATTTTTGTAATTCTTTCCAATAATATACGATTAGAAACCCTTATATAGTCCTATAATTTCTACCTCTATCAAGGCTACCCTTATTACCCCTACTATGGAAATTCCTATAACTAATTCTTATAAGTCCTACTATTGGGGCTTTGACATATAGGGATAGCGAGAGATCCTTCTTATAGATTTCTTATAAGATCAGATAAGACTTTATTGCTGTAGACATTCCTTCTAATAATTATCTAATGTTGAAAACAATACTCTTAATTTAAATAATACTTCTAAAAATATTTATTAACATATTCTACAAATTCATGGATTTTTTTTTTCATTATTATATTTTTTCATTAATTATAAGTCTTAAAAATTTTATTTCACCAACTATATGTCTTAACATCTTTTTTTATAGTTTCTTGAACCCATTTTTTTTAAGCAATTTTTTTATAGATTTATAGATTTATCTTCAAAATAATTAACTAAAAAATCAATACATTGAATAAGTTGATCAAAAATTATATAGTTTCTAGTATATATATATCAATTCAAGAAGCCAGAAATAGTTAAAATTAAATTAATAAAATATTAAAAATAATTATTCAAAATTGTTCTATAAAATTAAACCCATTTATTGGCAAACATTATAATGTCTTAAATATCTTAAATCCTTAAAACTTATATCTCCATGAATAAATGATAATTATTATTTTTTTTTAAAGAAACAACCATATTTTCATTTAATTATTTTTATTTAAAATTATTTAATTTAATTTTTTAAGCTTTTCATAAGTTAATCTAAGTGAGGGATGTTGTCTAGGGATATGGTATAGGAATATAGGACTATTTCTTGTAGAACCTAGAACTCTTTAAGGGATCTAAGTATTAAATGCCACCCAAACCTTCCACCAAACACAGGTGCCGAACCAGAACTGGAAGCAGATGCGCTACATGCAGATGAACCAGTACCCGCCCCCGTACCAGCAGCGCCAGCGCGGCCCCCACATGGGCGGACCCGGCGGCGGACCCGGACCCGGCCAGCAACAGTTTCCGGTAGGCAGCGGCGGTGGAGCGGGCAACTTCAATGCCGGCGGTGCCGGTGGCGGCGTTGTCGGCGGCGGCGGAGGCCCCGGCGGTGATCAGTACTCGATGGCCAATGCAGCAGCGGCCGCAGCCTCCAATATGCTCCAGCAGCAGGGACAGGTCGGTGTCGGAGTGGGCGGAGTCGGTGTTGGGGTCGGAGTCGGAGTGGGAGTCGGAGTGGGTGTAAAGCCCGGACCCGGACAACAGCAACAGCAGCAGATGGGCGTAGGCATGCCGCCGGGCGTGGGCATGCAACAGCAGCAACAACAACAGCAGCAACAGCCGCAACTGCAGCAACAGCAGATGATGCAGGTGGCGATGCCGAACGCCAATGCCCAGCAACAGAATCCATCGCAGCAGCCGAACGCCCAGGTGATGGGCCCACCAACGCCCCACTCGCTGCAACAGCAACTGATGCAGTCGGCCCGCTCCTCGCCGCCCATCCGCTCGCCCCAGCCCACGCCATCGCCGCGCTCGGCGCCCTCGCCCCGGGCCGCACCCTCGGCCTCGCCGCGAGCCCAGCCCTCGCCGCACCACGTGATGAGCAGCCACTCGCCGGCACCGCAGGGACCGCCGCACGACGGAATGCATAACCACGGCCTGCACCACCAGTCGCCGCTGCCCGGCGTGCCCCAGGACGTGGGCGTGGGCGTGGGCGTGGGTGTCGGTGTGGGCGTCGGTGTCGGTGTCGGTGTGGGCAATGTCGGTGTCGGTGTTGGCAATGCCGGTGGCGCTCTGCCCGATGCCTCCGATCAGCTGACAAAATTTGTGGAGCGACTCTAGTGCAGCAGCGCCAATAGCTACAACGGATGGTAGCCCTAGCATGGATGGATCGACCGACATGGAGGAGGAGGAAAGCCAACCAGGATTAGACAACTAACATAAGACACCTCTACTCTACACACACACACACACACAAGCAAGCAAGCACACTACTAATTCTTACCCCTCGACGATGAGGATGAGGACGAGGACGAGGATTACTTTCTTCCTCCAAAAAAAAAAAAACAATGAAAAACAATGGCAACAATACAAAAAACAACAACAACTATCACAATTAATTAATTAATAATTATGTAGCATTTAAGGCGAGAGAGCAGCAGGCACACGGAGAACATGGAGATCCTATCACCACTAACTTTAAGTTTTAGGACAACTTTGAACAAAAAAAAAAAGCAGCATGTTAATATGATTTCTCCCCATCTAAATATATATATATATATATTTAAAGATATATATATATATATGTTATATTCAAGAAATACCACATACACACACACACACACCCTACTAACCACACACACACACACAGAAACAAGCTCTGGATGTATTAAAAAAATGCAACAAAAAGCGAATCCTTTGAAATGCATTCGAGGATCCAAACCTTGATAATGATGACAACGTTTAACGTTGCAACTAAAGAAACGCTGAAGCTAAAGCTAAGGCCTAAAACTAAAAAAAAACCTTATTCTTAAAACTAAATCTTTAAGCTAAAAGAAAAACTAAAAAACAGAACCTAAAAGAAATCTTTAATCTTTTTTTTTTTTTGTATTTCCAAGCAAGCAACAAGTGACCAACCAAATTATTAAAAATCATGTTTTTTTTTTTTTTTGTAAGCCAGACCCCCCTCTAATTACCAAAAACATAGATACACCCTTGTGTATTTGTGTGTGTACGGCAGATCGGCAGTTAGATGCTCCTTATAGGAGCTTTTCAATATTTTTGGGAACACATGCATTAGAAAGTAAAATACAACAACAACAACAACATATTTTTTTATAAAAAAAAAAAAACCATCGAAAGAAACTTCTAAAACTTAAAAAAAAACGGAAAATCCTCATCTATATTCTCCCCTCGACGGTAAAAATCATCAAAAAATCAAAACATCTTCACTTCACTTCCAAAAAAAAAAAAAAAATGATGACAGACAACAATAACAAGAAACAAAAAAAAGAAGAATCTTGGGAAGAATTCTTGGGAGACCACAGAACCGAGTAGTAGTAGTCGTATCAGGAAACAGTAATACCAAAATATAAAGGATGATGGATGATGAGAGGTTTTTGGGAGCTTTGGAGGTGGAGAATATGGAACCTTAATTAACAAGAGCAACAAAATAGCAATAGCCAAAATGCTTTGAAAACGATTTTTAGTATATAACTTTGAGACATGTAAGAAGATCTAAATTATATATATACATATATAATAAATACATCTATATATATATATATTCATATGTAGGAGTTGTAATAATTCTAAAACAAAACAAAAATTGTTTCATATAATTGTTTATATGTTTTTGATGAAAGTCGGAAGTCGAATGCCGGAAAGCCGGAAGTAGTGTAGAGTGTGTGTGTGTGTTGTGTGTGTATTTCTGAAAGAGAAACCGAGTGATTCATAGAATGAGTGTGCTTGTGTGCGTTCCTATTCCTCAAATTACAACACCATCATCATTTTTTTTTTCTACGTGTACATAACTTAACAAATTTTTTTTTTTTTTTACTTAGTATTTGATTTTGTGATAGCCAAACAAAAAAAAAATGAAAAAAAAAAACCGAAAAAATCAACCAATTTGTCTCAAAAAAAAAAAAAAAAAAAAAAAACTGAATGTTAACTTTGGAGGATTTTTTGAAAAAAAAAAAAAGAAGAGAAGATCGATTGCTATTTATTAATGATAAAAACAAAAAAACTAAAAATTTAGGTTTATAGACTTTTTAGGCTTAGGCGTATGGAACTATTTATTAGAGTGTAGACTGTAGTTTCCAAACTGGGTTCTTTCATTATACGGAAATATCACACGTCTATATATATATATATATTAAAGTATATAATATATGATTTTAATTATTCACATTTTTTTTTATACATATATACACACATATATTATATATATATATATATTATTGTTCAGGTCTAAGATGTTTAGGATGATGCAGGATGGGAGTTAGTATGGGATCGTTTTTCGTTTTCAAAATGTTTTCTTTGTACAAGTTGCCGCCGCCGCCGCCGCCCAATAAGAGTAGAAAGAGACAGACAGAGCGAAATAGAAAGAGAGAGAGAAAGTCCCACATACAATATACATATATCTATATATATATATTTTTTTTTTTTTGATCGTCTGTAAAGTATTTAATTATTAAGATAATGGATATAAACTACTTATTCACTGCGCATAGAAATGCCTTCAGAAAATTTGCGAAAAGTAAGCAGGATTAACTAAAACATTAACATGTAAATATCCTCAGCATATAAATTATACATAAAAATATATATATACGATATATATATATATATATTTAAAGATTATTTAAAGGATTAGGAATCTATATATAAGTAACAACAGTTTGTAAAATCCAATGCCCTAGTGTTTAAGACGCGCCTAAGTATATCGGGTATAGCGGTTATATCGTTTATATATTTATAATAAATAAGTCTACACTCTCAATTTAAACACACCCACACACACTCACTCACTCACACACACACCCACACACATATATATACACACAAATAACATATATATCGCGATATATATATTATATAATTCGTGTTTAGTTAGTGTGTTTTTAAACGAAACGCGCTTAGGGCGAGAAATAAAAATAAATAAAATGAAAAACTAAAAAAAAAAAAACAAAACCAAATCGAAAATTTTGAAAATTTACCACAAAAAAACAAAAAAAAAATCCCAATAGCTGCGCCTGCCTCCGACTTAATGAAAAACCAAAATTTTTTTAAAATCGAAAAACTGATAAAAATTAAAAAAAAATAAAAGCAATGAGAAAACCCACGCTGCGCTGCACACAATCAAAAAAAAAAAAAACCAACAACCAGACACCAAATAAGAACTAAAAAAACCTAAAAAACTAAAGTAAAGTAAATATATTAAAAATATTATATAGAATCGTGTAAAAAAAAAAAAACAAGGAAAACATACTCAAGTCACTGGGCTCTGCCGCAGAATGCCTTTGTACGTTAAATGTAAAGAAAAAGCCACAAGTATATGTTATCGGTAATCGGTTCTCGATAAACAGTTGCGATAACATGACGCTGCCTTCAAATCGCAGTCGCCGCGTGTTGGTAGAAAAAAAAAATAAGAAAACCCCTAAACTTGCAAATAAAAAGAAATCTACAAACCAATCGGTTCAGCGGGCGCAGCATAAAAAAAAAATATTTTAAAAGCTGCTTTCCGCATCGTTTTTTTTAAACCATTTTTTTTTTGTATTTAAGTTTTAAAAAACAAAGATTTCATTTTTTTTTTCGAACAAAACTTGTCGAGTGTGTGAAAGAGATCGCCCGAATGTGAGTGTGCGAGTGGGAGAGTGCTAGGCAAAGACAGAATTTTTTTTTTTTTAGAAAACTTTCCTTTTTTTTCTAATTAATTTTTCCAATACGCAAGAAAGGGAGAGAGAGAGCATATTCCAAAACTATTTGTGATTACAAAATATATATGAACATTAAAAAACAAAAAAAAAAAAACGAATGGCACTTCAAGAAAAAAAAAGAATTGAAGACGAGATGTTAAAAAATTATTAAGCTAAGCCTTAGACTAAAAAAAAAAGCCAGCGCTAAATATATACATATATAATTTATATATCACACACCAACACACACACACACACACACACGAGTATATAGGATCTAATAGCTAAGCGAAAAAAAACAGTTGTAAATGATTAAAAAAAAAAATTAAAGAAAAAAATAAAAATTTATTCTAAATGCAGTAGCAGCAGAAAAAAACCGTTAACCGAACCGAAGCATATGAGATAATTGATAAATGATAGCGATTAATTGGCTAATTATTATGCATATATATATATATAAATATATATACAAAAAATATATGTATAAAAAAAAACTGTAATTTCTTAAAAACAAGAAAGAAAAAAAAATATAGCAACTCGAGCGAAATATGGAAGGTGACGAGAATGCCTGGAAGAAGAGAATAGTTAAGTCAAGTGTAAAGTAAACCAAGCCTTAGTAAAAACTAGTTCTAACAAACAACAACAACCGAAAAAAAACAAAAAATTAATATAAAAAATTAACAACTAACAACAAAAACGAAGCAACAACCGCAACAAAAGATTTAAAGAAAAAAAAAAAAGAAGCAAGAATGGAAACAAAAAAAAGAATCGATACTAAATAAAACTAATATTAATAAAGATAAATGATAAATGATAAATGATAACGATTAATGGTAATGTTTATGCTAATGATTACGATAACGATAATGATAAACCGTTATGACATAATAATTACTTGTAAAATAGAGCAACAGTTTTAGAGCTGATAAGGTGGAACTCTTTGACTTTTCTATCAGATTTCATTAATTTAATTAATTAACACACACACATACACACTACTGACACAAACACACCATTGCATAAAAACACACACACATACAGAGAAGTGTATTAGTGTATGAGTAAATATATATATATTTATATATATGTGTATTTTTTTTTACTATTATTACGATGATTATTATTATTAATATTATTATTGTTTTCACCAATCTCTGTCTACCACATTATACCCTACCTTCTGTTCTGTCATTCTATGATTTTTCTTTGTCGTAAATTGATCCAAAAAAAACAAAAAACGAAAACGACAAAGAAACAAACAAACCAACAAAATGAAAAACCAACAACAACACTGTAATTAACTAAAAATACTTTTGCTTAAAAGTGTAAAATAAATTAATTTAAATAAAAATTATGAAATTAAAACGAAAAATAATGATAAACTTGCATTTTCAAAATGGGGAAAATGTTCTATTTAAATGGTTTCAACAGAAACATTCATCATTTGTCTCGAAGGACCAAAAATATTTATTCTAACCCCGTTCTTGGGGAGTTATACGTAGAAGTACTGAGTTTACTTCTTGATTTTAGATTTTAAAAACTATTCCCTCGAACTTGATTTAATTTTCTATTTTCAGAATCCACTCTTGATTTGTCTCGAAGGACCAAAATTATTTATTTAAATCTTCTATTTAGGCTAGGTTTTCACTGCAAGCATTTATCATTCAAAATTAAAACTACTCTACAATGAATTGATTTTATTTATCATTTAAAGAAATATAAATTATTAGAATACTTATAGACTTTGGTCTGGCATTCCCGATAATTGTTTTTAAAAATAGGATTTGATTAAATCATGCCATCATCATAAGCATAAAAATATTATTTCCATGCAATAGCTAAATTTAAATAAAATACCAAAAAAATAAATAAAAAAAATAATAACTATCAGAAGATAAGGTGGCAGGTGTTTCGCGTCCGCAATCGGGAAATCCAGAAGTCAGAGTTATGAAATCGGATTTCAGAGAGTCAAGGGCCCCTTGAAATTAATAAACGCTATAGACCTTATATGACTCACAAAGCCAGCTAGATTTATGGCCCTTTGGCTTCACTTTCCCTTAGCTACCAACTAGCCTTTATGGGCGAATGAAATACGTCCGACTATATCGTCAGGCGGATGTCAAGAGAACGAAAAAGCTTTAGACTGTTTTGGGTTTAAAGTCCGTACGGATTTCTTATATATACGTTGGTAGGAATTATCCGTGGCTATCAACTCACCATCGTCACATGAAACATCTATAAATAATGCCTAAAAAAACAACAGTTTCAAGTGCAGGGGCCAATCTGGATCTGGATCGGGGTGGGTGTACGTGTGGGTCTTGAATAGAATGAGTCGCAATAGTAATGCTAGGAAGGCCTTCAGCGGGGGGTAACAAAGTTCAGAGAGAATAATACAATATTTTTTTTTTTTGAGAAATAAAAGCTTATAAACTTGTCTCTGATTCATTTAATCGAATTTTTTTCACCAAACTAAGTAACCTTATCATCTTATTTATGATCCTCCATCCCAACCGAGATTCTATTCAGGTGGAAAAGTTTTCAAACATTAATGCCAGTTGGTTTACAATTATGTTCCATAACATCCGGGTATTATAAATCATGAATATCTTACAACAGTCATATGATTTTTTAAAGGACTTGTAGAGCTTTTCTTTCCCACGCTGGTGTTAAGCATCAGATATATTATTTAGATTGTTAGGCTTTCGTACTCGATCACAAGTACTAATGCCATCCAGTCGAATGCCACCACTCGATCTCAATAGACATCGCAAGTGGCTGTTCTATTTCTTGGATCGTAGATATGCCTCGACTTGATTACCTAATGCAATAAATACAAATATTAATGTCTGATTATGCTCTTGGCTTTGGCTTTTATCGTTCGATTTTTTGTTTACCTCCTTGAGAGTATTATTTCTATAATAGAATTATTGGGAATAATGGTATATCAGGGATTTCTTGGGAAATCTATTTTATTAAGGGACTTTCTTATGGTATATCTTTCTGGGAATTTTTTAATCTGAGATATACGATTTTTAGAAATAAATAATAAAGGATGTGCTCTATATTTTATATCTCCAAATATTCTACATCTTATTCTATATGATCTTAAAAAAGAAATCCCCTTAATGATCTCAGTCTTTCCTTCCAAAAGAACCTCACTTTAACCTTGACATTGATAATTCAGAATGGCCAGGTGTGACTCTGGGAGGTTCCAAAGTCCCCATATCTTTTCCATTCGCTTTAATTTAATTAAGTATTCGATCATCTATTGGCCAACGGTGATTATATATTCCCATTATTAGTATTTTGGTATTCCCGTCTGACTCGGCAATCTATTCGACTATTTCGACTTGTGACATGGATTTATGGACGACCAAATCCGCCAGTGAATCCAGTACGAATTGGGGGTAAGGTGTTCTCGAGTAGCCAGATAAGACACCAAGATCGCGGCCAAGTGGTGGGGAGTGGTGCGGTCTCGGCCGTATCGATAAGGCCAAGACCAGTAGTAGTAGCTGCCAATATTTATAGACTCCCAAGGCGGCCGGTGCTTGGTCATAATCGAGTGCTCCACAATCGGTCCTATCAAGTGTGCCATAAAAGCTAGATCACTCCAGTCCGGGCGAGTGGAACCTATAAAATCCCTAGATCGTTCAGATCGCCCATTCAGTCACAATACCACCCTTGGTGGCCGCGGCGCGAGTGAGACTTTCCAACGAATAGTGTTAACCGAACCAGGAATTGGGATTACGTGATTATCATGAAGGGACCACTCAGTGTCCTGACAGCCGTGCTGCTGATCGCGGCTGCCAGTTCCCAGGATGCCTCCGATTATCTTCTCACTGGATACTCCAATCCCATGAGCAGTAGTCTGGCCCATCAATTCTTTAACTTGGCTGCTACACAAAACTACCTCCCCTCCAATGGAACCCAGCTGATGATCCAGGGTTATGAGACCCGGGACGATGAGGAAGATCTGTGCCAGCGGGACATCAATCGTATTCGAGATGGTTTGAATAACTTGGAGGAATGGGCCATGGAATGTAAGTACAGTTCTTGGGCTTACAGGTCCTTGAAGTTAGTTTACAAAACTTGTTGAGAAGCTTTAACTATTTCCTAAAATAAATCAAGTAATTGCTCAATCGAGTTACTTAATCCCCCTCCTAATCACCCATGCACTTTATTATTACCTAATCTTGAAGTGCAAACATTTTCCATGTATACCTATAATCCATAAATCACATATAGCCTTGATTTCGCTTTTATGAGTTGCCATAAATTCAATTTAATAAAAGTTTCCCACATGCTTGGAATTAGGAAACGATTTTGGTTATTTGGGAATTCCTAATGAAATTCAATTGCTTAGATTATTCTTGGAGATTAGGATTAAAATACAACTTGGAAACTAAAACGGTTATACAATACCAGTGGCTTTATTGCAATTTCATTCATGCCGATTACAATGTTTATTTTCATAATTTATGATTGCTTATGATCTTCAAAAGGGTTCTTAGTCGTGTTCCCCCCTTTTTCAAATACCACTCATTCATAATTAAGTATTGAAGTGGATTGCAATTTATGGTCCTCATAAATCAATCACCCGTAATCGTATTCCTTATCGCTATTGCAAATCCGAAACCCCTAAGCAACGACGAGGTGTTATTTGATTTTCAATAACTTTTCTGTTTTTTTTTTATTACAGTTCCGGATACATGGGGCCGCCTGCCGATCGGTCTCTTCTGGGGTCACACCATCAGTATGGGTCAGTACGAGGAGTGTGTGGCTGCCGAGAGTACATATGGCACTGAACTCCGAGGTCAGTACTGTCTGGCCTCCTTGAACATCACAACGTTCTACCAAAAGATTAAGAAACGCGGCCATGAAAATCCAACTGCCAGGATCAGTTACAAGCAAACGGATCCGCAGGTCTTTGAGTTGGGAATTTGTGTTCCAAAGACCTGCAGTGCCACTCAGACCAATGACCTGCTTAAGACTGTTATTTCGCACTTTTATGGCGATGATGTCGTTAATCTAACCCAGACAATGGTCACAGAGACGCGTTGCAAGTATGATGCCCCCATCGAATTGCGTGGAATTGATATTTTCGCCATGTAAGTTAAGGTTTTTGATCCTTCGAGACAAATCAGTGACGAGCTCGAAGGACCAAAAGTAGAAAACTTTTCCTTTAATTAATTTGTTGAACTTTTTTTCAGAATTTTCTTCTCGCTCATCATTTTCTTCATGATAGCTGCCAGTGTCTATGATTATGTACAGACCCGTAATGGAGCTGAAAAGAAACCCCTGTTTTTGGCCTTCTCCGTCCTCCACAACGCTCCCAAGATCTTCACCGTCAAGAAGGTGAACAATCCCAATGTCATCCATTGCCTGAACGGCTTGCGTTGCTTCAGCATGATGTGGGTGGTCTTCGGTCACGGCTACATGACCTTCTATGATCTGCCGCACATCAACAAGAACAAGTTCTACACCTGGGTGGAGACCCCCTACTCAATGCTCGTCCAGAACGGATCCCTTTGCGTGGACACATTCTTCTTCATGTCCGGTTTGCTGATGTGCTGGGGAGCCTTCCGAGAGCTGGAGAGGACCAAGGGCAAGCTGAACATCCCGATGATGTACTTCCATCGTTACATCCGTCTGACGCCAGTGGTGGCTGTGGTGGTACTCTACATCATGTCCCTGTACAAGTACTCTGGAGAGGGTCCCATGTGGTTCAAGCTGGGCACCCAGGATAAGCGTTGCGAGGACACCTGGTGGGCCACTCTGCTCTACGTCCAGAACTACGCCTTCCCCTACAGCATTGTAAGGATTCTTTGGTTTTGGTCCTGGACCTTGTACACCATTAAACCCTCTCTGTTTCTTGCAGTGCATCTCCCAATCCTGGTATCTAGCTGTGGACACCCAGCTGTACTTCCTGTCGCCTCTGTTCCTCATTCCCTTGTGGAAGTGGGGCAAGAAGGCTCTCGTCCCGATTGTGATCTTCCTGATCTTGTGCCTCGGCTGCACCTTTGCCACCTTTATGTACAACGACTTTACGCTGTTCCGCGTCCAGGACGACCATGTGGATCTCCGCCAGAGGCTGACCTACTACCCGACCCACACACGCATTCCCACCTGGCTGATCGGCGTGATCTTCGGCTACTTCCTGTTCACCAAGAACCGCGGACGCCAGATTAAGATGAGCAAGCCCGTGGTGTTGGCTGGATGGTTCGTGGCCTTCGGCACGATGCTGGCCTGCATGTGGGGACCCTACTGGCGCATCCTGCCCGACACCCCCGACTCTCCATTGATCGAGGGCGCCTTTTTCGAGCCCCTGAGCAGGACCTCCTGGGCCCTGGCCATCGGCTGGATCGTGTGGGCCTGCTACAATGGTCACGGTGGTCTCGTCAACGACTTCCTCTCCTGGGGCTTCTTCACCGGCTTCAGTCGTCTCACCTACTGCATGTACGTCATCCATCGCATCGTCCAGCTGGTCAACGCCGCCCGTCTCCAAACAGACACCCACTTCTCCAACTATGATGCCGTAAGTTTCCCCCTCCAGAGTAAACTTTGGAAGAATCCATAAATCAAAACTCTCCTCTTGCAGGTTCTCCGCTGGTGGCACGACTTTGGCATCACCCTCACCGCCTCCATCTTCGCCACCCTGGCCTTCGAGGCTCCCATTCTGGGCATTGAGAAGGCCATCTTCGGTGGCAACAAAAAGCCGGCAGCCAAGAAGCCAACTCCCGGTGAGCTGGCCAGGTCAGCTCCGGTGGCCACTCCAACTCCCACTGCTGCTGTGGTGGAGCAGGAGCCCGAGAAGAAGCCCGTAGAGGAGATCACGGCGGATATCACTCCAGCACCCACACCCGCCAGTGTCGAGAATCCATCCAATGCCTAGGCGATACTTTTTTTTCCCCCAAGCGAACCAATTTTTTTTGAGTGTAGTTAGTGTTATTTATTAAAATTTATTAAAAACATAAAACTGTGTATGAAATACTAACTTATACTAGCTAATTATGTAAAACTAACATTATTGTACTTAATTAGTTGAGATATTATTTATTTTTATTTAATTTAACACTTTTATGGGTAAATGTTGCCACTTGTTACTTTTAAAATCTCCCGCCAAACGGAAAGTTTCGTGCTCTGCGCTCAGTTGGTATTTTTCTGCCACTAAGAAATACCAAATGCTCGGTATTTCAGTGAGTGGCGCAACTGGTCACATCTGGTCGGCCATCTGGCAACACTAACGCGTACATATGTTGCTGTGGAAATAAGAATAACTGACATGGATCAACGACAAGAATTCGTAAGTGTCCGAAATAAACAAATGACTAAATTGTTACAACAAAGTGCCAGTCAACTGATTAACTACACCCCCCACCCCCCTCGTGTCCAATGATAACCAATAATAAGCGGCTAAATGCGTTTTAAGCAAAGCGCTTCAAAAAAAAAAAAAGTAGCGTTACTTGAGTGTGTTTTCAACCTGTATTCGCTTGAGTGTGTGTGTGTGTGTGTGTGTGAGTTCGTGATGTATCGGTATGCTGCTGCATTTATTCGTGTTTGTATTGAAATGTTAAAGCAAACTCTTTTTTTTTCGTTTCGTTTTCGTTTTGTGCTTCTTAGTTATTCTTCTTCTATGGCCCATCTACCGCTATAAAGGTGCATTTTTTTTTTGCCAAATTGCACTAGAAAGAGTGCGCAAGTGTGCATGTGCAGTTGTATGTGTGTGTTTATATCGGTTAACACGTGCCGCCGCTTACCCCGCCTCTCCTCCTCCTCTTACTACTAATAAACTCAGCTTACAATAAAAATTCCTATGCAGTTCTGTTATCATTTCACAAAAACAACAACAACTACAGAGAGTGTGTGTGTGTATGTGTGTGTGTTTGGTTCATTAGGGAAAGTGATTTCCGGAGTAGTGCAATTGTTGTTGTTGTTTTTCTTCTCCTCCTCTTCTCTTCTTTTCTTCTGCTTGCATTCTACAACAACAACAAATAAGGGCCAATATAACCGGTTCCAAAATCGCTTTCCCTTTGCCAAATGCCAAGAGTTAGCTTTTATTTATTGTATTTGTTGTACTAAGCCGGCCAATTTTTTCTTTTCTTTTCTTTCTTTCTTTTTTTTTTGTTTGTTTTTTTTTTTGCATTGCACAAATCTTTGTCCTCAATCCCACTGTGTCGCACATACACACTCACCCACACCCACTGTGGGATGGCGCGAGTTCATTGTTTTCTTAATCACCAACTTGAAGAGAGGAGTGGAGCGGCGGGGCGGTGCGGTATGGAGGGAGCGACCAGAAGGGGCGACCAGTGGGAGAGAGATTAAGGAATTATACAGTTATTTTCAGTGCAGTTAACCAAAATTTGATAAGAAATTTCAAAATTCGAAATTATTTCGACGTTATTTTTACAACCTCCTTTTTTATGGTTTTTTTTTTTATTAAAACATTAAAGTTTTTTGTGAAATTTTTTAAATGTATCAATATTTTTCTTTTTAAAATTTAAACTTTATAATTAAAATCGAAAAAAAGTTCAGTTTTTTAAAAACTATTTTTTTGTTTGCAATTCCTTTTAAAAATTCCTCTTAAAAATTTAAACTTTAAGTTAAAACTATGAAGTTAAAAAAAAATTCCGTTATTTTTTTTAAACCATTAAAATTTGTTAAATTTTATATCTAAAATTCTCAAACTAAAGTAAAATAAAAGAAAAATATCTAAATTATAGAAACACAATTTAAAACCTTTTTTTTTTTAAATTTTTCATCAAATATAATACATTATTTTAAGTTTTTAAAAACCACATAAATACAAAAAAAGTGCTAAAATGGTATTAAAATTTAACATCAATTTTTTAGACCTTTTTTTTTGGAAAAATTAAAAAAAAAACAAAAAATTAAATCAAATTTTAAGTTTAAAATTTCTAGACAGTTTCCACTAATCTCTCTTCAAAAAGGTACCCTTCTATTCAAACCAAACCCTTCCACAAATGGAAAAAAATGATCCATATAAAATGAAGCATTTTCCTTAAAAAAAAAGGTGATAAATTTCTTAAAAAAACAAACCGTATTGAAAGACTATTTCTTTGAATAATTTTTCGCAAGAACTCGCCACTTGCCCTTTGTAGTCAGTTTTTGGCAGCTTTTCCAGTTCTCTGAACGCCAATCGGAAGTGGTTTCTTTTGTTTATGTTCCTCTCTACTCTGATAATTTATTTATTTTCCTTTCAAGATTTCCTCCAAACTTGGGCACCCAAAACCTTCCCCCTCCCACCGCCTCTCACCTTTCTCGTAAATTTGTATTTTCTTCGGAAATCTATTTTTTGCTTCTTTTTCGGATCTTTGGAACAAATTTTTGTTTAAAGCGAAAATTTTCATTCATGCAGAGATTCAGTTTTTGGAGGTTTTCGAAAAAAAAAATAAAAATTAAATGGAAGGGGAAGTTGAAGAAGAAAAACAAGGTCAATATTTTGTGGTTTTGTTTTGTTTAGTTTTCATTTTCATGAATAGCAGCATGATTTTATTAAAATGAAGAAAAATTAAGAAAAATAAAGGTTAAGGTTTCTTGGGAATTACTGCGTTTAAGGTTGCTAAATAAATAATGATTTTATATTAAAAATAATATCCATAATAGACCATAATTGTCCTATCCATAATAGTAGGAGAAGTAATAGTAATAGTAGTAATATTAGATCCATAAATTACATCCATAAATGTAATATTCCAATATCCTTGTTTCTCTTCTCTTTACTCTATTTTAAATATCCTTTTTCTTTATTTTATGTCCTTTGATGACTTTTCCATACAATTGATTTCATTACCAGTTACTATTATGTACAAATTGTTGCATTTTCATTGTTGCAAATGTTGCATGTTTGCCAACTTTTGTGTGGGGCATCCATGGACTTCCGATGTCTGAGCTCCACGTTGCATAAATCATAAAAAAAATAAAAAGCTCATAAAAAAACAGACAGCGAGACAGTGGGGCAGCACAACAATGACAGAGGATGCCCCTCCTCCAAATGCCTTTCCTTCAGTTGCCCCTCCTTCAGATGCCCCTCCTCCTAGTTGCCCCTTCAATATTATTATAGAGTCTTTAGGGTGTATCTTTAGGGTTAATGTTCATGTATCTCAAGCGAATACCTCAAGAATGCTACTTTTGAAGCTTTAAATTATATATAAAAAAAAATATAAATATAAAAAAATATAAATATAAAAAAATATAAATATAAAAAAATATAAATATAAAAAAAATATTATTTTAAAGTTTAAAAACTAATTTAAAAAAATATTTAAACTTATATTTCCAAAAAACTCTCTTCAATTCTCATCACTTTTTTTAGGTAAGTTTTTAAAACATTTATATTTTATTTTATAAACTAGAAATACTTTTTTTTAAATAATTATAATTTAAAAATTATTATTTTTTATGAATTATATTTATTTTAATATTTAAGAACCCATCACCAAACTTTTTCCTTAGAAACCTCTGCTCTTAAAAGTCTTACCTTAACTCAGTTATGAAATATGTGCAGCTTGTGGCAAGATGACTCCTCCCCTGGGGCAGGATAGCTTCCTTTTCGGTTGCCCTGGATTTATTATTATATCCTGGCGGTGGCTGGGGATTTTGAACTCTCAGAGACTTACAGAGAGAAGTACAATAACCCGAGGATGGCAGGAGGCAGGCCAACAGTCTTTAGGTTGAGGTTGATAGGCATGGGTGGGTGTGGCAGCCTGTTGCTATGCCCCCACCACTGCCGGGTTGACTGGGCTTCCTCATTTGCGTTGATTAAGCGGCCAGATAGCGGCCACAATAACTTTCATTAAAAAAAAAAACGAAAAAAAAATGAGAATCCAGAGAATGAAAATAAACAAAAAGCGTTGTGCAACAGCGCCACAATCATGTGCCCCATGTGTGTGTCTCTGTGTGTGTGTGTGTGTGTGTTGAAAATGGGTCAGGCCCATGCTCTCTTATCATTCGAGCAACTGAATCCAAGCCAGCCCAAGCCCAAGCTACACCAACACTACACTGCCATGCCGCAAAATGTGGAGCAAACCGAACCAAAAATCCAAAAAAAAAATATATAAATATATGGCAACTGAAAAGGGGGGTAGGAGGAGGTGGCGGGTTATATACCTCGAGGGTCTAGCAAAAAATATCATTCCGAAAATAAACAAATGAGCGAAAAATAAAAGGGGGAGAACTTACTTATAGGGTGCAGTTTCGTGGCAAAAAAAAAAATAAATAAAAATTTAAAAAGAATTTATTTTAAAAGTAATTTTATTTATTTATTCTTTTTCTACAAAGTCCAGGTGTCCGTCTCTCCGCTTAAAGTTTTTAGGTCTTAAGTTGAAAAGCTCTATGTTGAAAAACTCTATGTTTCAGTTTTTTTTTTTTTAACATTTAAGGTTTAATACTTGAATATGAAAAAATGTATTCAAGTTTTTTTTAATAAATCAAAAAATTATCAAAAACTGTCCATCTGTCCGTCAGTCCGCTTGTCCGCTTGGACGCTATACGCTTCTAGTTATGACGTTTAAAAATAGCCTCTAATTTTAAATTTAAGAATTTTTTAAAGGTCTGTCCGCTAATTTGTCCGTTTCTAGTCTCTAATTTTTGTTTCTTTTTTTAAAGGTGGAATTTTTTCGAATTCTGGTATCTAAAACTTATAATAACTAATACTTTAAAAGCTAAATTACCGCTTTTTTTTTAAAAAAAAACAGAAATAATTTAAAAAAAGCTGTCCGTCTGTCCGCTTGTTTGTCCGTTTCAAGACTCTAGTCTAGTCTAGTCTCTATATTTCAAGTTACAACACTAAGATTATTATTTTTTTACTATATACACTTTAAATACTATTTATTTTACTAGAAATATAAACCTAAGTTGAGAAACTTTTAAGAATCCATAAAAATCGTC